GTTACACGTGTGAAATGTCACTGCCTCTTACAGGGGCTTTGGAACTAAATCCAGATCACATTTCTAACTTCAGAAACAGGTTTTTTTTGGTTTTTGGTTTCTGTTTTTAACACTTAAGTCTCTTGCACAAGATCTTAGGATGATTCTCAAGGAAGCTCAGGCTGAGATGAGGGCGTTGGCCGGTGGCAGCTGCCTCATTGGTCTGTCTGGGGCAGAGCTGACAGCCCTCGTCGCAGTGTCGGCCGGGGCAGCTGTCCCAGCCCCTGGACTCCAGGGTGCACCAGATGATGCGGGGTCTCTCTGGCCCTCCAGTCTCAGTTACCCAGATACCGCACAGTTGGAAGGATGTGCTCGTTCCTGCGCTCCGTCATCGTCGTCTGTCCGTCCGGCCGTTCATCCGTTGAGTGCCTCCTCTGTGCCGGGCTCCATTCTAGGCCTGGGGTCAGAGCAGGAGTGACAGGGCAAAGCCTCTGTCCTCGGGGAGTTGCTCCCAGGGCAGGTGGGCATTCAGTACAGAAGGATGGGTGCAGAGCTGGGGTGCGGGTGGACATGGGGCCCTGCTCTCCCCTGGGGTGGGGCAGGGGGCTTCCCGGAGGAAGTGCTGTTTGTGCTAGACCTGGAGGGTGGGGAGTGTGCCAGGGGTCTAGCTCACTGGAGACCCCGGTGGGGGGCATGGCTGGTTGGGGACTGACCTGAGGCCAGGACAAGGGCAAGGTGTCACATGGGCCAGAGCATCGCTGCAGCCACACTGTGTAGGACCCGCAAGGCCACGGCAGCAGCCAAGTCTGTCTCCTGAGGGCAGCAGGGAGTCATCTGAGGGCTTCAAGCAGCAGGGAAACATGATCTTTTTAAGATTTAACTAAGGAGAACGGCAGGGGACATGTGGAACAATCCAGGCTGGGGGTGCACAGGAGGGGGTGACGAGGTCACACCTATTGGTCTCGCCTACCCCAAGCTTCATCTTGATGGCCCTACATGGACAGGCGGTCCTAGTCTAGTTGTCACACACTCGTTAGAAGGAACGGTGGCTGAGCTTTAGGTCACGAACGACACTGTCATTTGCACGCACACCTGGGGGTCGGTGCCTGTCATGTGTGCGTGTGCGTGTGGGCTCGCGCGTGTCGGGGCTGAGTGTGCTTGTTGGCCCACCCGCTCACGCAGCCCCACGGTGGCACCGTCCATCCATCTGCCTGAGTCCTTCCTCCCTTGCACCTTGATCTCCTGACCCCCACGTGGCCGGCCACAGGGCCCTGCCCGAGCGCGGTCCCATTGCCGCCTCATCAGCAGCCGCCACCCGGGCTGGGCTCCCTGCCTCTGGGGGGTGAATCCGTGAGCAGCTCCTGCCCACCGGGGCACGGTGAACCCGTGATCTGGCACCAAGAGACTTTGCTCGGGGGCACTGGGCCGGGCCGGCTGCCTGGGCCTTCGTCACATCAGGCTGTTTCTCTCACGACTCCTTGTTCCTCTCTCCCTGGAGGGTGATGCTGGGACACCAGGCGTGGCCCCAGCAGGTCCTCAGAGGGTCCTGTCCCACATCTGCGGGGGCAGGCGGCCATCTGGGTGTGTGGCCCTCACTCTTTTCTGCCTCCCTGATGTGCCCAGGACTGGCAGTTGGCCTGGACCCCCAGGGCTATGGAAACCCTGACTTCTGCTGGCTTTCTCTTCGCGACACCCTGATCTGGAGCTTTGCCGGGCCCATTGGAACCGTTATAATCGTGAGTGCTGGGGCCGTCACAGGAACCGAGACTCTCAGAGACACAGCAGCCCAGGTGCCCAAGGGGGCATCGGCTGCAAGGGGTGTTTGGGGCTGGCTGGGGTCACTAGCTCCTCTGAGCAGCTGGGGTGAGGCAGGTGGGGCTCATCTCATGGTAATGGTCACCAAAGCTGCCAGACTGTTCTGGGCCTTGTGCTCAGGTCCATGGATTCCGGGTTACATGTCACGTCCACTGTGAGACTGCTGCGTGTCCAGCTCCCAGGCGGGTCCCCATGCAGGCAGGCTGGGTGTGGTCGGCCCTGCCAGGACAGCTGGGGGAGGGATGCAGCCTGGCCACGGGACAGCCTCGCCCCACAGGCCACCAGCCCGAGGCCACCTCCTCCAGCAGGACCTCCCTGAGGCACGGGATGAGGTTCCTCAGAAGCTTTCAGCCACGACAAGACGGAAGAGTTGGCCACCTTACCTTGTTTTTTTGTTTTGATTTTTTCAGATCAATACAGTCATTTTTATCCTGTCTGCAAAGGTTTCCTGCCAAAGAAAGCACCATTATTATGAGAGAAAAGGGGTCGTGTAAGTTGGGACCGAACCTGACTGCTGGGGTGGGACTAATGCAGAGCTGATCCTGCCCGCCCACAGTCAGCTGGGCTCTGAGACCCCCAGATGTCCAGCTTACACACCGGGAGGGTCCCATATTCAAGGTCAGACACACTGTCCATGCTAAGGTGCCTGGAAACACCAGGGTAGAGCCTGGCAGGGTGGGGCTGGGGGAGATGGAACTTTCCAGGTTGGTGGTGATGGTTATGCTGGTGCTGCAGGAGTGGAGAAGACCCCCAGCTAGAGGGTGTGGCGTGAAAACGGGCCCAGCACTGGGGAACCTCCAACGTTTCAGGGTTGGGGGAGGAGAGGGGACCCACCACGCCACTGAAGGAGCAGGCAGGGCCTGGTGTTCAGGAGCCATGACAGGGTCAGGAGAAGATGACGGGGGATGTCCGGTGGGTGACCATGAGGCCCTGATGACCTGTTTCAGCAGAGATGGGGCTGAGCCAGGGGGCAGGAGATGGGCTGACGCACAAGAAGGGGCCTCAGGGAGGGGTGTGAGTCTCCTGGCCCCTGGAGAAGATGGCAGAGACACTCTGAGATGGGTGGCAGAGGGGGAGACAGGGTGGGCGGGGTCCTGGGGCCCTGAGCCCCCTGCCTGAGCCTGGTCACTTCCTCCATGGCTTCAGCTTTATCCTTCACTCAGTCCCTCCACAGCCAGGACAGGGTACCGTTGCCATCCACGTTGACGGAAGGGAGACTGAGACAGGGAGCGGGAAGCCACTTGCAGGGTCACGGCAGCACGGGAACCCGCGGCGGGCAGGCCTGAGCACCCCTTGGTGCCTGCGCACGCACCTTCGAGCCCCCCACAAGCTAGCGCAGCCTGTGCACCGGGCACCGCGGCTCCACCCTGGGTCGCCCTCAGAGTGCCGTGGGCAGCAGCTCGCCTTAGTTGTCGTGGCTCACAGTTTCTTGCTTTGCCCTGTCTGTCTCGCTCCCCATGTGAGCCGGGGCCGGGCTCACGAAGGTGATCAGAAAGCGTTTGGGGAGGGGAAGGAGGCAGGGAGGGTGGACGCGTGGACGGATGGATGGACGGATGGATGCATGGGAGGAGGAGGGGGCTGTGGCTCATGCCGCCCCTGTCCCCGGCAGCTCCCTGCTGAGGACGTCCTTCCTCCTGCTGCTGCTCGTGAGCGCCACCTGGCTGCTGGGGCTGCTGGCCGTGAACAGCGACGTGCTCAGCTTCCACTACCTCTTTGCCACCTTCAGCTGCTTACAGGTGGGCGCGGTCCGGTGCCCCGAGGGCCTCTGCAGGGCAGCCCTGAGGGACAAGCACAGCAACACTGTGGTCGCTGTTCCAGTGCAGCTGCAGTGCGGGAAGCGGTGATGGTGAACCCTCCCTGCTCGTGGTCCCACCCCCAGAAAAGACCTGTTGCCCCGGACCCCCCTCTGTCCAGAGCCCTCCCCAGGACCCTATCCCGGGGTCCCCCTGTAGCTGTCAGGACATGGTCCTTGCTCAGCCAGTGCAGGGGCTCATTCCCTCCTCCCTGCCCTGTTTGGGGATGATGAACTGCGGCCAGGCCAGCACCCATCCTGTTTGTGTCCCAGGGAGGGGTGGTGGCCACTTATGGCTCACACCAAGGGCTGCCCAGCAAGGTGATTTATGACAAGCCAGGGTTCCCAGGTGGCCCCCAGAAGATTGTGGCCTTGGGTGGGGCCCTCACTGCCCACAATGTGCAGCTGCCCTGTCCAAGAAAGCAGCAGCCCTCGGGGGGGAGGCCTGGCGGGGCCTTGGTGGGCGTCCCCCAGGCCGTGCGGGCCAGGCCTGCTCCGTGTGCTCCGGCTGCCCACGTGGGTGGGCTGAGCTCGGGCGTTCACAGCAGGTGGGCAGACAGCCTGTGTGGCAGCGTTAGGAGCCTGAGGGCTGCCGGGGGCTGACCCTCCCTCCTCCTGCAGGGCCTCTTTGTCCTCCTGTTCCACTGTGTGCTCAACAGGGAGGTCCGGAAGCACCTGCGGGGGGTCCTCGCTGGGAAGAAGCCACACCTGGACGACTCGGCCACCACCAGGGCTACCCTGCTGACGGTAGGAGGTGCTGGGGACCCCACAGGCCTGGGAGCTGGTGGCACCGCACATGGCCAGGGGGTTATGGGGGGTACAAGGGCCAAGCCCCAGACACGGCTCTGCAGCCTGCATATCCCCCATGAGGGGCAGCACAGAGGTGACCACAGGGCACGGCATAGATCCTGATGCCTTCACTGTAGTCCTGGGAAAATGAGCAAAACCAGCCAGATAGGTCACAGTCAAATCACAGCCCCACTTTTAAGGTCTCGGGAAGATGGGGGCCTCGGCAGACAAGGACCCCAAACCGGAAGCAGGGGCTGGAGGAGCCCTGACCCCAGCACGGGCTGGGCAGTGCGCTCCCCTCGGCCTCCTGTTTGCAGCAAAGCTTCCCCTCTCTGTGCCGGCCCCTCCTGGGAGTGGGCAGGGGCTCAGCCCGCAGGCACGGAGGCCTTGCTGGAGGGACAGGGCCACCCTCTGCCCGGCCAATAACCAGCCCACCCTCCCCCCCAGCGCTCCCTCAACTGCAACAACACGTTCAGCGAGGGCCCCGACATGCTGCGCACGGCGCTGGGCGAGTCCACCGCCTCGCTGGACAGCACTGTCAGGTCAGGCGGCTTGGGGTGGGGGTGGGAGCAGCTCCTAGAAGGCCCTGGCTGTGTGCCCTGCCCCAGCGCTCCGGGGGCTGTGTGTGCCAATGTCCTTGGAACAGAGATGGGGCAGTGGTGGGGGGATCTTCCCATAACGCTGGGGCTGCATCACATCTTACTCTGGGTGGCGGTGCTGAGCCTGCCCTCCCTGCCCTCCCTAGGGACGAAGGGGTGCAGAAGCTCAGCGTGTCCTCTGGGCTGGCACGGGGTGGACATGGAGAGCCAGATCCATCCTTCGTCCCCAGGAGCTCCAAGATACCCCACGGTACAGTTTCTCCTGGAGAGCGGAGGCGCCTCAGGCTCGTTCCTGCTTGTCCCACATCCCGTCGGTCATTGGAGGATACATGTCCCTGAAACAGCATTAGCAGCCTCCACTTAGAGGGTTGGCAAGGACCTGTGGCCCAGTGCCAGGAACCTGCCCTGTCCTGCTGGTTCCTGAGCTGTCCCCTCTCCCCCCACAGGCCATGATTCAGACTCGGACAGCGAGCTGTCCCCGGATGAGCAGAGCAGCTCTTACGCCTCCTCACACTCGTCGGACAGCGAGGACGATGGCGCAGAGGCCGAGGACAAATGGGACACAGCCCCGGGCCCTGTCCACAGCACCCCCAAAGGTGAGCGAGCAGGCACAGCGGGCCAGGCTGGGCAGCGGGCGGCCAGGCAGGCTCTGGCCCCAGGAGGGCCCTCCACGGCCTCCACCCAGCAGAGACGGCAGTGCTTGGGGGTCCCAGAGGACTGTCACTGCTAGGACCGGTGAAACAGCCAGAGGGCAGCCACTGTGAGCCTACCGGGTGTCGGGGTGCAGTGGGGAGACCACAGCCAGGGCCAGTCTGGGACCCTGCCTCTCTGGGCCTGCAGGTTGGGGAACGGTGGGTTCCCCAGACCTGGAACTTCCCGGGGACACAGCTTTCAGTGGCTGGGCCCAGCTGCCTGCTGAGTGTTGCTCTTGTGCCTCAGTGGACGCCGTGGCCAACCACATCCCAGCTGGCTGGCCGGACGAGAGCCTGGTGGGGAGCGACAGTGAGGAGCAGGGCGATCAGCCCCCCCTGAAGGTGGAGACCAAGGTCAGCGTGGAGCTGCACCGGGAGGGGCACGGCAGTCACCGGGGTGACTGCCCCCCAGACCTGGAGAGCCCCGCCAAGCCTGCAGCGGCGCTCAGCAGCCAGCCCCCGGAGCAGAGGAAAGGTGCCTCGGGCGCGGCCGGGCTGCCCTGGGAGCTGCAGGACCTGGAAGGGCCAGTCCCTCGTCCAGAGGGTGGGGACTGGGGGTGGGTCCAAGCAGGGACAGGAAGGGTGAAACATGGGGTGGGGCCCAAGTGGGTCCTGTGGGCCGCCAGGGCAGGAAGACGTGGCTGTCCGTCCTACACGCCACCTGTCTTTGAGAACCAGCAGGGCTGAGGCTTGTTCAGGCACAGGGACCGGCCCAGTCTGAGTCCTCTGCACGAGGCTGTGCCCGCCTGAACGTGACCTGGTCGTGTCTCCCTCCTCCCAGGCATCTTGAAAAATAAGGTCACCTACCCGCCACCGCTGACGGAGCAGAAGCTGAAGGGCCGGCTCCGGGAAAAGCTGGCCGACTGTGAGCAGAGCCCCGCATCCTCGCGCACGTCCTCCCCGGGCTCCGGCGACGCACTTGCCCCCGACTGTGCCATCACCGTCAAGACCCCGCGGAGGGAGCCGGTGCGCGAGCACCTCAATGGGGTGGCCATGAACGTGCGCACAGGGAGCGCCCAGGCCCATGGCTCCGACTCGGAGTGAGTGGCCTCAGTGGGGTTGTGGGGCCGGGGGGTGAACTGCAGCCAGCTTCCCCTTGTCTCAGCCGGAGGAGAGAAGGGACAGCAGTCAGGAGCCTGGTGCTCATGTCACCCAGAGCCCAGAGCACAGGGGAAGCCCAGGCAGGGGCCAAGGGGTTGCAGCACGGGTCACGGGAAACTGTCCAGACATGGACCGTCCCTGTCCTGGGGGTGGGGGCTGCACTAGCCAAGCCTCTGAAGTCCTGACCAGCCCTGAAATCCTAGGACTCGAGGGCCAGCCCCTTTACATTTGAAACATATATAACCCATTTATTCGTGAAGTTTAAACTGAGCAGTTGCAATAAATCATGGCTGTTACTAGGTGTATCAATTGGTAACAATTTTGCATGCAATTCAATTGACTTTGTAGTCAATACCAATCGTTGCATTCTTTTGATATTCGGCATTTTGTCTCACCATTTTAAAATATAACCAAACAAATTAGACACACCTAGTTTTATTCATTTGTCCAATCAAAAAAGAAAATGCCACGTTTACCAATAACTATGTTTAATGTAGACCTTTCTACTGCATTATTGTCTTCCCGAAATACATTTTATTAGAAATCTTCATAATGAGAATCTATTGATAGTAAATTTTCCCAATGGTTTATTTATTCAACTTGAGAATGACATGAGAAAATGTATTTATTCTTGGGGCGGCCCGGTGGCGCACTGCTACAGTGCGCCGCGTGGGAAGCACGGCGGCGCTCCCGCCCGAGGGTTCGGATCCCACATACAGACCGGTTCCCGCTCACTGGCTGAGCGAGGCGCGGGAGCAGCTCCGGGGGTTGCGGTCCCATTGCCGGTCCCCGGTCCGGTGCGGGGGCGACACTGAGGGTTGCGATCCGTTGCCGGACACGGAAAAAGACAAAAAAAAAAAAAAAATCCTAGGACTCGAGGCCCTGCTGAGGGATGGGCCCAGGATCATTTCTGCCCTGTTGCACGGCTGAGGAGACTGAGGCTCCCAGAGGCTCCCAGCCGCTCCCAGCCGCTCCCAGCTACAGCAGCTGCAGGCCTCTCTCCATTGCTCCTCCTTACAGACTTGCAAGGGAAGAGCAAAGCCCAGGATCCAGGTCTTGTAGAATAGCCTTCCTAAAAATCCTAAAAGATGCAAGCGTGGTTTCTAGCCTTGCTACTCCATGCTCTGCTGAGAGGCTGGCAGCGTGGAGGACACCTGGCGGGCCTGGGCGTCAGGACCGTGGCCCGCGTGCATGAGTCCGCCCTCTGGAGCCCCCAGGCCTCCCCTGTGCACTGAGTGGGGGGCTTTGCCCCTGCATGGCCTTGGGCCCTCCACCTGCCATCCTCACTGACGCTTTGCCTGCCTGATGGCTTCTTCCCACACACAGAGGCAGTAACGAAACCTCAATTTGAACCATCAGGAAACCGTGAGGCCAGCCCATCACCTCCACACAGGCCACTGCATCTGCGTCTTCAGCCTGTGGAGTGAAGCAGGCCCTGGTGTGGGGGTCTCCGCGGTGGCATCCCCGTGACTGATGGTCCAGACGCAAAGCTCTTGTCTCTCTCAGGGGCTCTGGGCCCGTCAGACTCTGTGACAAGTGCCAAAGCCCACAGGCATGAGGGAGGTGTGGACTCCCAGGCTGGCACAGCTTGGTCCTCAGACTGCAGACAGAGCCAAAGCTTGCCACGCATGAGAGGAGCCACCCAGCCGGGCCCGATGGCGTGCCAGGTTTCAGGGATGCCAAGGACAGACTGCAGACTGAGGTCTGACTGCTCATATGGCATCTCCCTACAGTGCAGGCCCACGGCCGGTGGCCTCGACAGCCCTCTGCAAAGGCACCCCTTGTCCTAAAGCAAATTCCTTTGCTATGTTGAAAAGGTGTACATACTTTTATATATTTGTATGGGATTCAGAAGGTGAAAACCTGTGTATATTTTGCATTTGTACTGACTTTGTTGATCCTGGGAGATGTGTGGAACGATCTCTCACTATTTTTTATATCAGGAAGATTGCACAGTTGTACTTGAATGTGGCATGCATTGATGCACCTGGGGTCCCAGCAGATCAGAGGTGGGAAGTACGTGGTGGGCAGTGAGGCGAAAACTGAGTGGTCAGAAGTTCTCAGCTGCTGTCAGCCAGCGAGCAACAAGCCCACAGGCATCCCTGCGGGCTCCTGAGCTCACAGCACGTTTGCTTTGGAGTGTGTGTGCCCTCCACTGCCATCGGCCCTGACGGGTGTGGATCCAAGACCGGGTGATCTGGGACTGGGCAGGAGCCCAGTGAGCATTCTACTGCAGGCGGGTTCCTTTGTCCCTCTGCTCCTGCTCTCAGTGGGATCGTTAAGCATTCACGCGTTCCCAATTCAGATGGAGGCATGAGGTCTTCCAGGGTGTCATTTCTTCCTGCCAATTTTCTAGTTCTTTTAGATTCCAAGGATCTCCAAGCAGGCTGGGGTCCCACCCCCAGAGTCTGATCAATTACTTCATTTTGCTTTTAATGGCCAATTGTGCAATGGGACAAAGCCCCAGCCACACTCTTCAATGGGTACCAAATTGTTTTTGGAAACTCATACCAAGAACCAACTGTGACTGTCCCACGGCGGGCATTTGGCACAGCATGGCCTGAGGGGCTGTGGAATGGGTCATGGAATTATTCAGACATGTTTTATTTCAGTGTTTCCTTTGTTCTGCAGACGAGGTGCCCAAATAAGTGATCAGCACAGCTGCTTCCAAATATGAGAAACCATAAAATAGGATGAAAATCAAGTAAGATCCAAAGGTTTCCCTATTGTATAAGTTTCACATTTCATTCTTATGAAAATGTAAGCACTGTTAATGAATGATTACATGAGAGAGGGAAAGTTTATCTGAAAAGGTTTGAGACACGAGAATGGAATGAAATGAGATCTCCAAGTCCTCACACCTGAATGAATTACAAATGTGCCTTAGCGGGCGAGTGGCCTTCTGGAGACCCACACAATAGTCTCTGCAAATGCTGCCGCCAGTGAGACGTTTTCTGAGTCCAAGGAGGTTTCGCTGTTGCTGGGTCTTTGAACACTCCACTTGAATATTACTGCTGACTGTTCTGCAACTGGATTTTAACCCTCGAGGTGTAGTTTTGAATTTGTTCAGAACTGTTACCAAAAAAACAATTGTCAGTTTTATTAAGACAGGAAAAGTTAAACCTATTTTTATGACTTTTATGAGATTAGACACTGGAGATTTTTAAGAAATGTGTATTTATTAATGTTCAGGACACTGGAATTTCAACACCAATGAGAAGAGAGTCTACAATAAATTAAGATTTTTGAATTTGTACCTCTGCTGTGTTGGTTCCCCCCACACCCCTGCTCCCCCTTCCTTTCTAAGGTGGCACGGGGGACACTGACAGCACGACAGGCTGCTCGCGGGACGTGGGTGGCTGGCCCTGTGGGGTGTTGTGCCAGACCTCTTCCTTCTTCACGCCTGCCATGGCCTGGGTGGGCTGTATTTGGTGTTTCCTGAAGTTCTTGAATCTGTAAATTATAACTTTCACCAAATTTGGGAAATTTTTGGCCATTCAGTTTTTTCCCTTGCACTAAACTCTCTCCTCTCCTTCTAGGGCTCCAGTGGCACAAATCTTAGCCCCATCGATACTGTCCCACAGGTCCCTGAGGCTCTTTTTACATTCTTTCTCTGTTCTCCAGATTTGACCATTCCTGGTGGTCTGTCTTCAAGTCTACTGAGTCCTCTGTCATCTCCACTCTGCTACTGAGCCCATCCAGTGAATTTAAGTTTTAAACTTAAAACTCCATTTGTTTCTTTTTTCTACTTTTCATTTCTGTGTTGAGGACTTTGGGCTTTCAGTTCATTTTAAGAGCTTTTCCTTTTGCCTCATGGAGCATGGTAAATTCATATTTGCCTCATAGTTACTTGTTTGTTTGTTTTTTTTTGGTGGCTGGCTGGTATGGGTGTCCAAACGCTTGACCTTGGTGTTCTAACACCATGCTCTCATCAACTGGCCTAACTGGCCATTTTCTATTTTTTGATAATTTGCACACGTGGCCATCTTGGGGCTGTGAAGTCTGCTGGTTGTCTTTTGGCATTTCCTGGTTCTTCATGTGCTGAGTAGTTTGAATCCTCAGTCAGCATGTTAAAGGTGTGAGACTCTGGGCCATGTTAAAACTCTCATTGTAAATGTTAGTTTCAGGAGCCAGCAACTCAGGTTGCAACTACTAGCTCTGTCTCACGCTCTGCATGGTGGGCTGCAGCACCGGGTCGGTTGTCAAGCCTTCACCATGCTGTTTTGGGTCCATCCGTGCACCCACATGTGGGGAGCCAGGACCGCGTCGGCATGTGGGACTCAGGGTCTGCTTTGTAGCTCTATGCTCCTGGGATTCGCCTCACACTCTGGCTTCTGGGGCCCCTTTCCTAGATTCCTGAGTTCCAGCCACCTGCATTGTACCCCAGTTGGACCACCCTCAGGGAAAAGCAGTGAGAGTAAAGAGAGTAATGGTGGGAAAGTAATGGTGATCCCCCCTCGACGCTCTTCAGCCCGCAGGGCCCCCTTCCCCAGACCTCTCTGGGACATGGAGACAGCTGTGCCCACTGGGGAGAGAGGCACAACCAGTCAAGAGGCTGCGCAGCTGGAGCCTAGGGGGCCCGGGGGGCAGAGTTGTTGTGTCCTCTCCTTCCTCCACTGGCCACTGAGGCAGGCCTGGCCGGCAGGAGGGGCAGAACCGACCAGGGGCTGCAGAGGGCAGCCTCACTGCCTGCCAGCTTGGTGCTCATGCCAACTTCGCCTGGCCACCCCCCTCCCTCCTGCCCATGTTTCTGTGTCCTGGGAGGGTCAGCCTCGAGCAGATCATCATGGGTACTGTGGGGACTATCTTGGGGGCCGTGGCTTAGACCTCAGTCCCCAGGCAAGAGGCCCAGCCACAGCAGCACATCAGGGGAAACTCGAGCCCTGGAGGCTCTGCACTGCCCTTTGAGCTGGCAGAACAAAGCGGTATTTCAGCCCCAGCCTCCGTGCCCAGCTGGACTGAGGGTCCCCAGGGGCCAGTGGGCCTGTCCGGTTCCCACCAGCTAGCACAACCTCTCCATGATGGGCGCTGAGTTCTGGCCTATCCCAGTGAGGGCTGCCATCCAGGGCTAAGTCAGGCCCATTTCTTCATCTGGAACAGCGGGTGATCTCAGAAGCCTCCTGATCCTCAGGACACTCTCTGTTGGGTGGGGACCCTGGCTGGAAGGAAGTGCTGGGGGCCAGCATGTGAAGGGCAGGGGGACAGGAGGAGGGCTGGGGAAGAGGGCAGCTGAGGCTGGGGGCTGACCCAGGACTGGGAGAAGCTAATGAGGGGCTGATCAGTGACTGTGCCATGGGGAGGGCAGCAGGGGCCTTAGCTCATGAGATGTCAGAGCTCCCTTCCTGCCCATGTGAGGTGGTCCCTGCTCCCCTATCTGCTGACATCCCTTGTCCCTGCGCTTCGCTCTGGCAGGCAGGGAGGCTGGCAGTGCCTTCTGACTGCTCTGCTCCGTCACAAGACCCACCCCAAGTGCAGCTTGCGGGCACTGGGGTTGGGGGGATGCAATAACTTCCATGTCTCATGGGGTTCCTACTGCAATGTCTTCCTCCTCCCCACGGGGTTTACAACTTCATGGGGCAGATGGAGGCAGAGTCCTCCCCTCCAAGCTGAGTCCCCTGGTTCCTCCCGGCCCCTACTGCAGACTGGGTGTCTGCGCCACTCCAGGAACTGGGGGGCCACTGAGGTGGGGCTGCCCTGTCCAGCTTCTGGGGTGACATGCTGGTGCCAGCTCACACACACTCAGTGGCCTCCAATCTGGAAGCTCCCCACGCCATGCTTGTTGCCCCACCATAGGCCCAGGCCAGCCTCTCCCAGACCAACTAAGCTAGCCATGGGGGCACTGCCTGGGCCCAGCATCCACCTACCTCATGCAACGTTGCTCCCAGCTGGCTTGGGTCTCCCCAGCAGTCTGCAGCCTCCCCACACCAGACCCAAGGGGGCTGTCCCCAAGTGTGGTGTCCAGTCCCTGTCAGAGAGACTAGGAGCCCCAGTGCCTGGCTGCTCCAGAGAACGACCCTGGGGCTCTGCAGTGGCCCTCTATCCTGAGGTTCTAATGAGAACCAAGGGCACCTGGTTAACTCCCTCTGGACGATGCCAGCTTTCAAAACCATGAGGAACAGACGCTCCCGGCCGGCTCAGCACTCAAGACAAGTGTCTTAGTCCTCAGTTCCTCCCGCAACGTGTTCATTTATCTCCATACTTCCTAAATCCAACTCTTCTCCCCACCTGCCACCCTCGTCCAAGCCTCTACAGCCTACCTGGTGTACTGTCCCCTCCTGTCTTCTTCCATCTGTACTTCACAGCAGCCAGAGGGATCTTCTCTAAAAACGTACATTGGGCAACCTCACTCCTGCTCAAAACCCTCCCAAGGTTTCCCCTTGCGTCCAAAAGGAGGCCCCTCCTCACTACAGCCACCAGGCCCTGCCCTGGCAGAGGCTCCTGGTCCTCCCAGATCCGGCTCCCCCACTCTCCCAGCCTCCCTTGTGGTCAGGGGTGGGCTCTAGGGACTGTGGCCAGGCCAGGCTGAGGCCCCGGGGTGGGTGTGTTTAGGTGTACTTGTCCCGATGTGCCTGCAGCCCCTGGCTCTGCACACACCCACACCCCACACGCAGGCGCTCCAGCAGCCCATCTCCCGGAACCATCTGCCAGGCTGCAGGGAGCAGCTGTTGGAGCCATGAGGGGGGAGGTGGAGCCCTGACTGACAACCCCGCCCCCCCAGGGAGGGGTCCAACCCTTGGGGTGCCCTGAGCCAGGGCTTGGCCCTGCTACCAGTGGCCCCATCACTCCATCCCAGCATCTTCAGAGCTCCGAGAGGGCAAGGACCTCGGTGGGGAAGGGAGGGGACCCTCCCCTCATCCATTCAAGTCAAAGACAGCCCCTTGTCTGACTCCCTCACTGGCTGATGCTCTGTGTTGGCTGAATGTGTTGCCTCTGGTCTAGAACATTCTAATCCAGAGAAGGCAACCACACCTCCATTCCCCAAAGGAGCCTGGCTTGCAGCATTAACAAAGTGCTGAGTCTCATCCCAGCAAGAGGGAGGGAGTTGACATTGTCTGTGCTGCCCGAGGTAGGTGCTCTGGGGTCCACGACCTTCAGACCTGGCCCTCGGGGCCAAATATTCCCCAAAGGAGCCTGGCTTGCAGCATTAACAAAGTGCTGAGTCTCATCCCAGCAAGAGGAAGGGAGTTGACATTGTCTGTGCTGCCCGAGGTAGGTGCTCTGGGGTCCACGACCTTCAGACCTGGCCCTCGGGGCCAAACGCAGGGATGCAAGTGGGCAACTGGAGGGGGCCCAGCTGCGGGAGGGGAGGGCAGTCTTCCCACCTCTCCATGCCAATGACTGCTAGTGGGCTTGAACCCCTTCAACAGCCCAGCCTCGCCCCTCCTGGAGGCAGTAGTCAGACCTCACGTCCCTAGAAGAATTTTATTCCACACTGTCCCTGCAGCATGCACAGCTCCCTCCACAGGTACCCTCAGTGCGCTCGAAGCTGGCAGGTGCCCCAACTTGGAGAAGACTGGCCCCTCACAGGGCTCTCCCTGGCTCTGCAGGCTTTGCAGAACCTCAGCTGGCCGGGCTTGCCATGGTTCCGGCAGCAGACAAGGCCCTGACAGCGGGTCTGCATAGTGGCTGCCCAGCCCTGCTCTCTGTTCTTCCAGGACTCCTCCAGCAGCTCAGCCTCCATCAGTGTGTGGGATGTGGACCCAGGCCATCGCCACAGCCCTCAGTGGCCACCTTGGCTTTGCTCCTGCCCTTCTGGAGTGTGTAGGTGGACGGCCCCAACCGCAGAATCTTCCCGCTGCCCAGGCATTCATCCCCTTTGTAGAACACGGCGAACTGGAAAGGAGGGAGAGGCCCTGGGGACGGTGCTCGCAGAGCGGAGCCACATCCTCTAGAGCTTCGCTCTGTGCAGAGCCCAGGCTGGGGCCCTGCTCTTCTGCTCTGAGCAGCTGAGCTCCTGGGGGAGGGGTGGGGGCGGGGACAAAGGAGAGAGGCCTGGAACTCCCAGCAGCTTCATTAGGGAGGAAGTCAGGGTGAGGGACCCCTTCCCTCAGTGGGATAGTCATGAGGGTCCCTCCAAACTGCCAGATCCCTGCAGCTCTTGGGGAATCTGGCAGATGTGACTGGCGGGGGAGGCGGGAGGGAGCCTGAAGAAGCTTCAGCCACCCCACCCCCACCCCAAGGCCTCACCCAAGTTCCAACCAGCACCTGCCCTGGGAGAGCCCCCAGGCCAACACCTGCAAGCCCCGGGCCTGCACACTTGGCCCACGTGCGTTCCCTGTTCCTCTGCCTCCTCCCCTTCCCGTCCTGGCCCCTGGGGCCCAGTCCTGAAGTAGGCCCAGGTGGGGCAGCTGGGCCTCCCAGAGCCCAAGCAGGAGCCAGGCTGAGGGACTCTCTGCTGGTGGCTATGGCTGGAGAGGAGCCCATGTGCGGGCTGCTGGCTCTACCCTCACTGGCTGTGTCACCTGAGCTCCCACACCCCCCTGGGCCTCAGCCCCTCACCTGCAAACCGGGTGTTCTGCTGGGGATAAAGTGTGATACGGTCGTTCCAGAGCACAAAACACCCTGACTCAAGAGCCACCTCATGCCACCAGCCTGGGGGTGGCTGAGCAAGCATGAAGACCACCTCACATGCCAGGACCAGGCTCAGAGCATGTGCTTCAGGCCCTGGGAGCAGAGCTGGCCAGGCACCTGGCCACAGGCAGACAGTAACGCCAGGGAGCCCCATCCCACCTTCCAGCTGGGTGCCCCCCCAGCCCCCACTCACCTGTCCTGGGGTTAGGGCCCGCACGGCCTTTACGGCCGTCACCCACACGGTGCCATCTTGATTGAGGGTCAGCACACAGGGCACTGAGGAAGAGAGGGGCCCTTGGAGGGGGGTACAGGCCTCACCTTGTCAGCCTCAGGCCTCGGACCCCCAGGGAAGAAGGAGCCCCAGTTGTGGGGGGCGAGGCTGCTGCCCAGAGGGGGTCTCCAATATACCATTCTGCTGGGAAGGACAGGGCAACAGCCAGGGGGGCTCAGAGCCGCCAGCCCAGCTTGTGGATGTGGCAGGACACTGCAGGGGCAGCACACACGCCACCTGCCATGTGGTGGTGCCCAGCGCACCTGCACCCCCAACCCAGAGCCAACCTCCCAAGACTCTCCTGGCATCAGACAGGAGCACCTGCTGCTCCCCAGCACCTCTCAGGCCTCTCTGCGGGTAGGCACAGAACAGAGGTCTGAGTATTTCATACAGCCCCAGCAACGAGGGACTTCACCCAAGGCCTCACCTCCCTGCCCTAAAACTGGCCCCAGGAAGCTCCACTCCAAGGAGCCCCTCACTGGGATCCCTCCGCCCAGTTACCTAGCTCCATCTGGTGGCGAAACCGGAAGTGGCACTCCATCATCTTGTCCCGGACCAGGGCAGCGGGTGGCTCCTCTGCGATCCAGTGCACGCGGTTGGTCCGCAGCAGGTCCCTGTACAAGGCCGGGTGGTCTGTCTGGGGGGCCTATGGAGGGAATGTGAAGGTCATGGCACCCTGCTGCCCTCAGCAGAGGCGCTCCTCACCCCAAGGCCACCTGACTGCGCATCATTGATAACAAAAGTACCAATGGCTAGCACGTATTGGTGGCTGTGCTGAAACTACTGTTTTTCCTATGGAAATTCATTTAATCATCTCATGAGCCCCATTTTGCCGATGAGGAAACTAAGGCACAGGAGGGAAGATAACTTGTCACAGTCACAGTTGGCAAGAACCAGAGGTGAGATCTGAGCCCATGACCAAAAACACCCCTCAAAGTTCAAGTCCCATTCTGCCCCTCCCCCTCAACCGTGTGTGGGGCAACGCCACCTCCATCCTCTACCCAAGGGGACCTGGTTTGCTATTCCCAAGGACATGTGCCAGCCACACACCACTGGCTTGTCTCTCAGAAAGGCCACGACAGGAATCCCACCAGCAACCAAGTGGCCAAGAAAGGACTGGTGGGCATTGGCTGTCCCACAGTCACCCAGGGGCTGTGCTCACACTCTGGGGGTTGGCCCTAGCCCAGCAGTGAGGCTCCTGCTCCCCACTACCACCCACCCAGCCCTGTACCACTGAAATGACGTCCCACCTAGGATCAGGCCAAGGCCCTCCTTTGAAGCAGGACCAGGAACATCCTGTCCAGGGGCTTTGGGTTCTAAGCAGGCACTGAGACCCATCTAGGGACAGGGTCTATGGCCCTTTGGTTTTCTCATAGCAAAGAGACCACTGACATTCTATGCTAAACTCACTTTAATTTATGCTTGCCTGGGCTTTTTACACCATGGCTCTTCTTAGAAGGAGATGTCTCAGAATCAACAAGTGAGGTCTGCTGGCCTCTCTGCCTGCATCTAAGGGGAGGTTCCCCCAGCTCTAGTAACAGCACAAGACGGCTGCTCAGCTGTGTAGAGCAGGATTTCGCAGGCTTGGCCCTGCCAAGATTGGGGCTGGATAATTCTGTTGGGGCGGGGGCTGCACTGTGCACTGCAGACTGTTGGGCAGCGTCCCTGGCCTTACCCACCCACTCTCCTTACTCCCCATCCAAGTCGTGACAGCCGAAAATGCCTCCAGTCACTGCCAATGTCCCCTGAGGAGGTGGGGCAAGCTCGCTACCTTTGGGAAGCCCTGCTCTAGAGCCCAGGGCTGCAGGCCAGGACTGCAGTGGCTCAGGGCCCAGCTGTGGTCGACAGCCGGTCTGACCCTGGATCAACCACTTGCATCTGTCTGAGGACGACTTACTGGATCCTACCATGGGCAGACACTGTCCTAGGTACCAAAGATACGACCCCCATGTGACCTTCAGCTAGTTATTTAACCTGAGTCTCATTGTCCTCTTTTGCAAATTGGAGAAACTGTATCCATCTACAGAGTTTACTGTGATGATTATAATAGAGTGGCCAGCATACAATAAGAGCCTAATAAAGACCTTAACCAGAACCCACCTGTTCCCTTGGGCCCAGGCGAGGAGGGTGCCGAGGGAAGGCAAGGCTGCTCCAGCCACCCCTGCTGCTCTCAGGTCCCTGCACCCTGGTCCCAGGAACCTGCCGGCTCTGCCAGCACTAGACCCCACCCCTGGCTGAAGGCCACCTGACTCACCACGAACACATTGCCCGTGCTGTCGTCCTTCTCCACCACGTACCAAGGCTCTCTCAAGCCGCTGATCTTAGCTCTCTGGCCCAGCGTGTACAGGAACCACCCTATGGCAAGATAGCTTCTCTGTGAGGCTCGGGAACAAGTTCCACTTTGAACATCATGCCTCTCGTGACGGGGTGGAGGGCAGCAGCACAGTGGCGTGCGCTCACAAAGAAGCCATGACTCTCCAACCACCAGAGCCAGCCCCAGGCGGGCGCCGTGGTCCCATCTCTCGCCTAGGCCTGGGCTGGACAGGAGGGATGCAACAGTGACCAGCACTGCACCTCATACCCCGGCAGAACAGGCTCAGCTGCGGCATGCCGACATGAGGGGCCACTCCTTTAGAACGTGGGCTGAGCACGCGGCTGGAAACCATGAGGAGCCTCTTTTTGCTGACGCCTGACGTGTCTATGGCTTTCAAAGGTATGTCCACTCCTGCCCCACCCATCCAGTGTTCTAGCTGCACCCCAACTCCCCAATTTCTCTGTGCCCAACTCTTCGCTGACTACACTCTGCATGTCCCCGACCCCCAAAACACACATCACACAAGATGGCAAGCTCCCGCCTCTGGAATAGTGTGTGCCCAGGCAGAGGTAACTGATGGGCTTCATGGTGCTCCCAGGCACGGCGTCCTATGTCAATGAAGCCAGACAACCGAGTTGCAGGTGGACATCCTGAGTCATCTACTGTAGACAGGGCTGGGAACAATGCTGGGCAGTTCTGTCCCCAGCAAGATCATCACCTCCCCCAGCCTCAGGAATACCCAAATCCCCGCCCAGCTCCCCCTCACCCTGACTCCCCAAAGCAATTCCCTGTGAGACGCCCCATCTGTGCAGCAGCCCTGTCCTCTCAGCCCTCTCACAGGTCAGGCCTGTGCCGGGCCAACACTCACCTGGTCACCCCGCCCTGGGAGGCACCCCCACCACTGCACTGACCAGAGATGGCCACGTTGTCTGTCCCCACACCAGGACCGTGAGCACTGTGACTAAGTCTGTCCCGGTCCTCCCCACGCCCAGCACAGGCCCATGGTAGCCCCACCCCAATAAATGTTTGCAAATGAGTGAGCAGCACCCACCATGTGGCCCTCCTGCCACAGACACAACAGGACATCTAGCTGTCTCTTCAGCTGGTCTTTAATCAGCCTGGTCATGCCAGGAAGTCCACCCACCCCTTCTCATCAGAGTGGAGCTGTTCCCCAGTTTAACATTTTCTTCACAGTGAGAAAATCATTCCGTCTACAGGGACTTCATACATAGCTCCCAGAGCGCGGCCCTGAAACAGAGGGCACACTTTTTCTTAATGCCAGTGTTGAAAGCAGAGCACATCCTGACATGACAAAGCCCTGGGCAAAGTGCCTGCCCAGTCCCGGCGTGCACCCTGCAGGGCTGTCTGCACTGCCCTGACTGAGTGGGAGGGACTACGGTGTCTTGTCTGGATCTCCCAGAGCTCAAACTCACTCCACCACTCAAGGAGTTTAGCAGCCAGAGGCTGCATCTCACCTTTGTGTGTGCCCAGAACTGTACTGTCTTCTACAGAAATAAATTTACCCGGCCGAGGCTGCAAATACTGGAAAACAAACATTTCATCACTAATGGAGACCCACATCCGGCACACACATGCTCCAGGCTTCTGCGTCCAAGAATACTCACCTGAAGAATGAATCGCTCAAAATTCCTTTTCCCGACAAAACAGATGCCCATGCTCTGAAACGAGAGGAAGGCGGACCGTGAGGGCGTAGACAGCAGGAGGTGTCCTGAGTGGGAATGAGCCTGGCCAGGAGGATGCTGCGGGCCGCCCCATGCTGCCAGACAGGGGCCTGGCTTCTTTTCCCCGCACCCTATGACACCAACCACAGCCATGAGCAGACACCCAGGGCTGGAAGAACGTCTTACCGTCTGTCCCTCTCAGGGCTTATTAAGAGCCCAACAGGTGCCCCTGCCATGTGAGCATCGCAGCATCACCAAACACCAGCAGGGCCTGGCCCCAGCATGGCAGAACATCCACTAGCTGCCCCAGCAGAGAAAACTAACCCTGGTCAAACCCTCAGGCCACTGTCCTGTGAGCAGCAGGGGAGCGACAGAGACAGAGTAGGAGCAGAAAGCAAGGAGCCAGGCCCGAAGTCAAGGCCCCAGAGAGGGCCAGAGGAAAGGGGTTCTCTTCTCAGGTGGATCTCTCCTAGCACAAGAAGCCTGGGCTGCAGCAAGACCTCGGTCCCTGGTGCATGGCCCGGCGGCTTCCTTATCCACTCTGTGGTTTGTGTCCCTTTAGGTGGACCCCACGAGGTAGGGACCTGCCCCACCCATCTCAGTGGCCCCCTCAGCTCCTCCCACAGAGCAACACCTGGAGACTGAGGAGCAGAGGTGTGGGCACAGAAATGGTGGGTGGGTGTCCTCTTAGGGGACAATGACTGGCTGACAAAAGGTGTGGCCATGCCCATTCCCAGGAAAACAGACATGAAGTAGCTTAGTGCTGCCTCAAGCCCTGGAATGGGCGGATGTGACAGAGCACAGCACCTCCCTCCATCACCACGCCACTCACTGGCTCTGCCTTACCCTCCTCCCACACACACACAAGGCCTCTGCACATGCTCCTCCCAACCCTCTACGTGACACTAAATCCTACTCCTCTTCAGGCCTCAGGTTAAATGTAGCTTCCTCAGTGGCCTCTCTGGGCATCTCAGTGGCCAGTCCAACTCAGAACCCCCTTGTGCTTCTCTCACAGGATCCTGCACCTTCCTCCATTGGCACTTTCCAGGTTTACAATGACAAGTTTCCCATCTCTCTCTCCCTCCTGACTGTAAGCTCCTGAAGGCAGCAATGGACCTGTGCACCCAGCACTGTCTCCTGAGGGTCTAGCAGCAGGGTCTAGCCCAAAGCAGGTGCTGGATGAGCACTGCTGGCCGCATGGATGGAAGGACGGGTCTATGTGCAGGCGGCAGCAGAGCGCCTGGCCTGTGTGGAGTGTGTGTGGGTCTCAGGGCTCCTGCATACTGCCCCGCTCACCTGGCACGCTGCTGGGAAAGCTGCCTTCCAGAGGAGCCAAGGAGGGGAGAGGAGGCAGAAGCCACTCTACACTGGTCCCATCAGCAGAGCCTCCTACTGTGCACCTGCACACACTCCTCCGGTCTACTCCCCTATGAGGCCCTCCTTGGACATTAGGTCCTGGGGATGGGGACCTGGTACCATGACCACACAGGCCCAGTGTACCCCTGTACCATGGAGACAGTGAATGTAAACATGCACTGATTCAAGGCAAACCACCCTCTCGTACCTCTTTTTTTTGAAGCACGTGATGAAGTTTATTCTCAGCAGCTATTTTCTTTACAAAATCTTTCGTTAATCCCCCCAGAGGGAAGATGGTTCTCCTCAGGGCCTCCTGGGAAACCTGGCTGAGAAAGAAGGTCTGGTCTTTAAAGCTGTCGGCTGCCTGGAGAAGTTTTACCGCTGCCAGGAATAAAGAACAAAAGACGTTGCAGGATGAAAACAATGACGCTTTGCCTTTAATAACATCCTTCTGTTTACTTAGATTACCCCTGGTCTGTCAGAAGCAAAAATCAATACTCAATAGCAGACTACTACGTTAATGCAAGAAAATCTGCACCCCTAATTTATCTACTATAAAAAATATATAAGAAAGGTAGATTATATATGATAAGGAAATTAATACCAGTTCACACTTTAGAATGTATTTTCAAAGATGAAACATCACATGAAAAACTGTTCTGAAATAAGAAAAAAAAAAAAGCCTAGGATAAATTCAGCCAAATTTAGGAAAATTGGATAAGACTGCAACGTACAGAAAATTCTGTTGAAACAGCATCCGCTGTGCTTTTTTCTAATAATTACAGGACATGTTCGTGCCCTGGTTATTTTCAAGCACTCTCTTAATGTTCCCAGGTTCAACTACTGGGTTAAGAATATACTCCTTGGCAGCACTCTACTTTTAAACATGTTTTCTTTCCTGGTGCTGTTTAGAGTCCAGGCTGACATGTCAGACCCCTCTGCAGTTTCTTTAACATTCCCTATTTTATTTTGTAAAGAACCGTTTTTGGCTTTAAGGCAACAGTGCAGAGGCGTGAGTGACCTTGACCACCTGACCTTGAGATGAAAAGAAACCCGGGCTCCAGCTCAGCCAGATCAGTCCTGTCCGGCTGCTAGAGAATGTCCGGTGATTGCAACTATCTCAAGTTAGTGACCAAAAGAAAAAATCTCAACAGAGTATCAGCAGCATGGCTTCTTTCAACCTTTCTCATGTCTGGTGCTACGAAATGCCTCACGGGTTATGCTCAGAGCATGCCACACGCGTGGCGGGTGAAACAGCACGCGCGCCTGTCACGGCAGGCACAGCACGCATGCAGCAGGCGCTCTGTGCGGCTCACGGTTGCCCCCCGTGGAGTCTCACATCACCCCATCTCACAGACGAGGAACTGAAGCTCAAATAATTAAAGCGACTCGCCTAACAAGATGCAGGCAGAGGACGGGGGAGCTGGAAACTGAGTAAATCTTCCAACTTCCATTCCATTACTTTTCATCTACAAAACAATAAAACCAGTTGAAAAATGAAATGAGGGCCGGCCTGTGGCTCACTTGGGAGAGTGCGGTGCTGGTAACACCAAGGCCACGGGTTCGGATCCCCTTACCAGTCATCTTCAAAAAAAAAAAAAAAAGAAAAATGAAATGAGAGTTCAGTCAACCAGGGAAGCACACTCATTGCCCAAATTTTACTTTTTGTCTCAATACTAAATTCAGTCAGTGTCTGCGTGCACAAATAGCTCAGAACACCAGGAACAACTTGCATTTTCTCCTAGATCTGAGTCATTTATTATTTATTTTTATTTATTTATTTTTTTAAAAGATGACCAGTAAGGGGATCTTAACCCCTGACTTGGTGTTGTCAGCACCACGCTCTCCCAAGTGAGCTAACCGGCCATCCCTATATGGGATCCGAACCTGTGGCCTTGGTGTTATCAGCACCACACTCTCCCAAGTGAGCCACGGGCCGGCCCTAAAATACAACTCTTAATGGTGGGTAGAAAAAAGAAAACAAACTAAAAATCCATGGTTTTGGATGAAGAAAGCTGGCAACCCTAATGGAACACTCTAAGGGAAAAGGATGGAAAGAAGCTCACACCTGGGCCAGGAGGTTTGCTGACCACTTGGCTCCTTCTGTCCCCATGGTGGCTCTGCCAGGCCAGTGGCCTCACACCGTGTGTGGATGAGTGATGATACCCAATCACAAGGCCAGGCCTGGGAGCGCCGGCCCTGGGAGCCGCTGGCCCAGAGCCCAGGCCTTCTCCTGCCCCCACCTGCACTCTCTCCTCAAGGACCTGGGCCCCAACCAGCTCATACTTCAGATTATAACAAATAAAAATAAAATAGAAAGCTTGAGTGTACCTAGGAAACACTGAAAACAAAGACACTGTGGCATTCTTAAAACTACCACAAGGGCCAGCCCGTGGCTCACTCGGGAGAGTGCGGTGCTGATAACACCAAGGCCACGGGTTCGGATCCCATATAGGGATGGCCGGTTGGTCACTGGGTGAGCGTGGTGCTGACAACACCACGTCAAGTGTTAAGATCCCCTTACCGGTCATCTTTAAAAAAAACAAAACAAAAAACTACCACAATAAAATTTACTCAACAAAATATGTGTGATGCTGTCAGAGAAGTTCCAGGGTGTGCGTGGCCTGTAATAAGCCAGTGGCAATACAGAAATAAATCTTCCATCTTCTTGGACCCTTAAATCTACCCTGACTTGGTGAATTGCACTGTGGAGTTCCCATGTGGCCAGACTCTGCGTTCCAGTCTGTGTCTTCCCGAAATGCAGGGCTTTTCTGGGCGAATGTGCCCAGAGGTGTGAGAACCAGCCCAGGGGACTAGGAGGGGGCTTCAGGAACCCACCATCTCCCCGCCCCTGGGCATGTCAGCGGACAGAGGCGACACAGAGAGCTGCAGACAGCAGCAGAGGCCTTCCCAACAGGAAGGAAGTGCTGCTCCTCTCTAAGCACCCTCTGCTGTGACAGGGAAAATAGGGCAGCCGAGCAACCCTGCCTGACTCAGTACTGCCCTGACAAGGTGCGCTACCCTGCAATCACTGCTGCCTTCAAGACGAGCCCCAAGATACTGAGAAAAGAATTCACTGGGGCCTGGAATAGCAGAAAGAGCAGGGACTAGGGAGCCAGGCAGAATGAACTGAAATCCAGCTCCACCACCTGAGGTCCCCAGGTCAAGTGACTCCATCTGAGCCCTGGTTTCCTTATCTGTGAAGTGCCAACAGCACGCACCTCCCTAGAAACTAAGGAGCGAAGTAAAGCCCACCCCCTTCCAGAAGCCCCCATCCCCAGCCAGGAGTGCTGCGGGAACAAGGTTCCAAAATCCAAATGCAGTAATGCCTAGCTGACTGAGGCGGGCTGTAGGCAGGCCAGACAAGGAGAGATGCAGCACAGCTCAGAAGTGCTGGCCCTTCGACCACCCTGCAAAGCTGGGTACCCCTCACAGACATGCAGCTCTGAGTTCCAACACGTTCTTCACTCAACAGCAATGTGAATCCCTCTTTTCTACACACAAATGTACATCAGGAAGAGTGGCAGCTTCCAGCCCACTGTCTGGCATTTATGTTTTTCTAGAAAGATGGGACTTTGCTGTCTAACATTTACAAACTAATTTGTGTTCATCTTCTTGGCAGACACAGTTACAAAGCCTGACCACTTATCAATGTCACACTAAAGCCTACCCAGATCTTGAGCCCTTGAAATCTTGATTCTAAGTATAAGGCTAAACCTACAGAAGCCCAATTATTGTTGTCAAATATATCTCCAAATATATATATATATATATATATATATTTTTTTTTTTTTTTTATTTTTTATTGAATCAAAATTGATTATACATATTTTGGGGTTCAATGTTGACATATGTTGATCAAATCAATATTACTAGCATATATATTGTTACAAATCATACTTTTTCTTTATGCCCCTTGTCCAATCTCACTCCATCACCCTCCCCTTCCCCTCCTCCAATTACCCTATATTTCTTCTCTCCTTCTGAAAGAGTAATGGTTACTCTGTTGATCTGTTGCTCTGTTGATCTGTTGCCTATATGATCTGTCCAATGCTGAGAGGTGTGATCAGGTCCCCTAATATTGTCATAGAGCTGATGCTTCTTCTGTCACTCTGAGATGAACTTTGTGGAGAGAGACATCCTCATCTTTTCTTTATCTTTGCTGGTGACTCTCCTTGTGTCAATGCACTCCAGTGGCTAGAGGACCATCTGTGTGGTGGCTGTGGCATCTAAGTGCTTTTGCAGCAGCCATGGTTACTGTGGTGGCTGTGGTGGGCCACCCACATGGAGGTGATGTTTCTGGCATGCTCCTTGGCACTGGTGGTGTGCCTGGTAATGGGGGGGGGGGAGCCCAGTCCCCGGCTCCATACCTCAGGTCCCCAGGCAGGCCCCTAGGTGCTGGCACAGTGTGCCTGGTTGAGGGGAGGGGGGTCCGGTCCCCGGATCCATGCCTTGGGTCCCTAGGCGGGCCCCAAGGCGCTAGTGTGGTATGCCTGGTTGTGGGAGGGGGGTCTGGTCCCCTACTCCATGCCTCACATCCCTGGGCAGACCTGAAGTGCTGGCCATGTGTCTGAGCCAGACCTAGTTTTTTTGTCCTTTGCTTACTTCTAAAGTGGGGGAACTTCCTGTTGGAACCAGTACTTGAGTTCTGTGGTTTAGCTAAATTGCTGCTTCCCTAGGGAAGGCTTTTTGTGCAGCACGGGTTATAATGATTGACTTTACAGGTACTTCCAGCTCTCCAGAGACTTGGTGCACTTGGGTTGTTTAGTAACTCTGATCTGGGCCTGAGTCTTTTCATCAAACTACATCCCATGCAATTCTATATTCCTGACCAGTCTCCTCTGAGTGTTCCTACGCTGACTGGGGTGCAGATCAGCTGTCCTTGATGTGTCCCAGTGTTCTCCTGGTGGGCCCATCTCTCCCACTGCCCATGCTGCAAACACTTCCCGTGGGACGGGCCATGCACCAGTCCCTTGCGATGACTCACCGCCCTCTGAGTGGCTCCATTTTTTCAGTTGTTGTGGCTCCTCAGTCCCATGTGGGTCCATAGGAATCCTATTAATGGTCTTGCTGGCCTGGGGGCCACCAAGGCCCTCTTCTCCCCTGCCACCTTCAAGCAACTCCATCCGAAGGGCACAGCTGCAGCTTTTGCCGGCTCCTGCTCCATGTACTTAGCAGTTCCAGTCTTAAAGCAGCCACGGCATGAAATGGTCAGAGCAGTTTTTTTCTTTCTCTCATCATGGCTTCTCCTGCCTTCATGTACTCCGTAGGTCTCTCCTCCTCTTCCCCTAAGCTCTAGCAGCCCCAGTTTGGCTGTTGTTGCTTTTTTATATAGCTGTAAATTGGTTGATTTCTGGGAGAGAGTGACACTGGGGACCGTCTATTCCACCATCTTGACTGGAACTCTCTCCCCTAATATTTTTGGAACATTCAAATCACCAACACACAGTGTCTAGAGCTGGATGATAAATTTCTGACTTAATCTTCCACTAGCCCTTGCCCTGGCACCTGGCCAGGACCTCTCTTATTGCCCAATCACAGACTCCTGGGGGAAACGACCCTCTTGGTAACTGCAACTTTTCAAATGTGAGCTCCACACCAACAAGCTAGTTTGGAGCACACAGAGAGAGGGATGGCAGGGATGCTCAGACATGACCCACTGCTACTCTTCGAAATGTTTTACTTTGTTCACAAGAATTAAGCTCGGACCTGGGCACTTTAACTTACCATTTCTAACTTCAAATCGATTTCTGAAAAGCCCTTCCGGCCTCTTAATGTGCTTCTGCTGAAAGACTTCTTCATCTTCCAGGGAAGTTCTTGCATAGTGACCTGTGGCAATGGCATCTGCTCCTGGGAGGTTTTTGAAAACACAAGGATCAGACTCGCATTTGCTGGCCTTGGTCAAGGGTGCTGAGAGAGGTTTGCAGGCCTGAATTCCCTGGGAATGGAGGCATACTTCGCACCTGTTAAACAAGCAGCCTTAAGCTCTGAATTTAAGCTGATATAACCTCGCTACAAAGTATTATCATATCTTTGAGAGTTTTTCAAAAGTTAGTACCTATCTATTTAACAGATATGCATGCAAAGAGTTAAGTATGCAAAGCTCATTTCAGAATTTCTTACAATATTAAGGAAAAATTGAAAACAATCAAATGCTCAACACCAGGAGGATGTGAAATGAGTCATAAGCACCACCACCTTGATAACAGTGGCACCTGCAGAGAGTGTTTGATGGCATGGAAAAGCCTGTGACACTGTTACATAGGGAAAAGTACATATACAATGATTTCACTATTTTTAATGTACAGAAAAAAATGAAGAAAAATCTCAGAATACCTATTCCTTTGATTCTTGGAGTGAAATTATGGATGAGATCCTCCTTTTTTCACTGTTTTATAGCTTTAAATTTTCTTTAATAAATGTGTATTTTTATCACAGACCATCTAGCATATTCAATTTCTTCTTTCCACATTATGCAAAAGTCAGAGAACTTACTGTTATGGATTGAATTGCATCCCCCCAAAAGTATAATGTATTGGAGGCTTGGTCCCCCCTGTGACAGTGTAAAGAGGGTTGGGAAATCCTATTATGGTCATTGAAAGGTAGGGCCTTGAAGAGGTGATTAGACTGTAGGACCACGTCCTAGTGAGTGGATTAATAATGGTGATCATGGGTGTGGTTCTGAGGGCTTTAAAAGGAAAGCACGTAAGAATCTCTCTCTGCTCTGCCATTTTCTGCCATGTGAGACCCCTGCATTGCTGTAAAACCACCACCAAAGAAGATCGTCACCAGATGCGTTCCCTGGACTTTGGACTTCCCAGCCTCTGAAACTATAAGCAATAAATTTCATTTTCTTACAAATTACCCAATTCCATGTATTTTGTTATAAGCAACAGAAACGGACTAGTACACCTACCAAGGCACATATTAGTCCATAACCTTTTCATTGTGTGAAAATTCCAGATATTCAGTATTTGCTGGAAGGTGCAGCAAAGTTGCTTCAGTATTTAACTCACCACACCAGCTCAATGTAAAACAGAAGATACCACAAGACTTAACTGCTGCATATTAACTACCTAAACAAGTACTTTTAGGAACATATTATTGCATATTACCTAATTGCCTAATAGAGAAAAAAAAAAAACCTTCTTTAAGTCTATTTCCTTAAAGGACAACCACTTATAATGCAAAAAGTGTAGGATTCTCCTAAGAGAAGCCCTAAGATTTCAGAAAGCTAGGTTTCATGTATTTTTATTGTGTTGCACTATTTAAGCAGTTAATTCAGATTTGGAAAGATTCACTGCAGAAATTCCTTCCAGAGTATCCCCAGATGGCCTAAGGGCTCCCTAAAAAACTATAGTGACAGCGAGTTCAGCACCCTCCAAAATCAAACATTCCTTCCCAAATAGCTGTTTGAGCCTCCTCCTGAGCAAACCTTTCTCTTGCGAATCTAACTGTGCCCTCTGGTGTCACACAAGAGTGTAATCCTAACACACACCTGGCCACTGCTACCATGACCCAAAGTCATTTCAACAGTTCAGCAGAGGACATATTTCCAGATGCTCTGTAAATCAAAATCAACTGGTACTCTGTCGGTCTGTCACTCTTTCCCTGAGTAACAGACATGGCCTAACCAGTGCAGACCGCAGCAGACTCATCCCCTCTCTCGCACATTCTCTGACCATCGAGGCGAGCTCAGTCTGTGCTGGCTTTGACAACTGACTTCAGACTACTGGCTCAGTCAGCTCAAGGGCAACTAAGTCCCCCAGATCTTCTGCACACAAAGGCAACCAAGCCAGCTCTTCCCGATCTTGTACTATGATAATTAATTATTGAGCCTAGTTAGCAAACTTTGCATTTGTCTCTATTTAATTTCATGATTTTGGTGTTAGCCCAGCATTCAAGTTTAAGACTTTTTTGATTTTTTGCTTTTGTAGGCATGGTTTTACTCCTAACTCCATGAACCATCTTGTCATCTCACCTTTAGGTTACTTTTGCATTGGCTCTGCAAGCCTAACCTATGTCATTATTAAAAGTGCTGGATCACTGGCATGTGATGACAGACATCTTGGGACGTGGTCATACAAGGCAGGGAGAGCTGCAGTGGGGCAGAGCAAACTGAGAGGCCATTTCCGGAACTTCAGAAACTCATTATGGTGACCCCAATGGCAGGGGACAGGAAAAAGAACCCAGAATTCACAAAGTATAGCAACAGATACCAAGAGGTAGTCTAAGCAAGCAATTCAGAATCAGGAAGGTTCAATAAAAAAGAATAGGGATACACATGGAACTGAGAAAGGAAAAATTAGGAACAGACAAAATCTACAGATTCAGCGGGCAGGCAAGTTGTCAGCTGGTAGCAGGGCCCTGACCATAAGGTGGGCTTCGAGAACAGGCCACTAAGATGCCTTCAAATCCAGAAAAACAAGACAGAGACCCAGGATCCAGAATCAGGTAGACCACAAACCTGTTCTCAAGACAAAGCAGAAACCCGCTTTTGGAAGCAAGAGAAAAAGTCTCAGAAGGATGAGCAAGAAGGATAGCTAAAGGCTGAGTTTCTTAGCCATGAACTACTGCTCCTAAAATTTCCCCTAAATACAATCACACCTGGAACTGGAGCTAAGAGAAAGGCAGAACCTGCAGACGGGGTACAGTGGCCTCAGGGGTAGGCAAGGAGACGATGCAAAAGGGGACCAGGCAGGATCTGACACAGACTACACACAGGCCCTGTAAGTCCTGCGGGCCACCCAGGGCACAGCTCAGCTGGAGACAAATCCACCTAAAGGCCAGGTGTCCTTCTGCTTTCGGCTTGTGGATAGCAACAACTTCTCTGCATTGCTTAGGCCCCGGGTTTGAGGAATGTTCTCCGTGCTAGAGCAGTTCAACACCACACAGAACCTGCAGGCCTCTGGGCAGCCCGGTGCTCTCCAAACAGTGGCCTATTCCACCTTGTGTTCTTCTCGCCCTGGCCAGGCCTTCAAAAGCTCTCTGTTGTCCTTGGCATTTCCCCAAAGTTCCAACCTTCCTAGCACACTTATGTGTTCATCTACTTTTGTCTTCCACATGCTTTTTGCTTGTCTGTTGATAATATCTCATTGAGGTTATTAACAATTTAATATCAGAATTTTATATTTTAAGACTTTTCTCCTCCTTCTGGGGCCCTGTCACCTTTCAACCCTTGGCCAGTGACCCTGCACATCTTTCCTCAGGATTTTTTTTTTTTATCAATATATAATAGGGTTTTTAAAAATATATATCTTAACACTTATTTGTACACATCTGTGAGCACAGTGTGTTGCATCCACAATACGCGCACACACTGAACACCAATTCACTTAGAACAGACAGCGTGGCTTTGTACCCATTTATCTACCACTTCCCCACCTCCTACTCCCAGTTTTAGAAATGTTTGTTCAGGTCCCATGACCATTTTAAAATTCAGTTATTTTGGGCCGGCCCGGTGGCGCACTCGGTTGAGTGCGGCACCGAGGGTTCGGATCCCATATAGAGACTGGTCCACGCTCACTGGCTGAGCGCGGTGCGGGCGCAACACCGAGGGTTGCGATCCCGTTACCGGTCATGAAAAAAGACAAAAAGGAATAAATAAATAAATAAATAAATAAATAAAATTCAGTTATTTGGTTTTTTGCTGTTGAGCTGTTTGAGTTCCTTATATATTCTGGATATTAATCCCTTGTCTGATGTATGGTTTGCAAACACTGTCTCCCATTCTGTAGGTTGTCTCTTCACTTTGTTGACCGTGTCCCTTGCTGTGCTGAAGCTTTTTATTTTGATGTAGTCCCATTTGTCTATTTTTGCTTTGGTTGCCTGTGCCTTTGTAGACTTGTTCAAAAAAACACTGCCCATTTTGTGTAGCATTTCCCCTGTGTTTTCTTCTAGTTGTTTCTTTTTTTTTTTTTTAAAGATGACCGGTAAGGGGATCTTAACCCTTGACTTGGTGTTGTCAGCACCACGCTCAGCCAGTGAGCGAACCGGCCATCCCTATATGGGATCCGAACCCGGGGCCTTGGTGTTATCAGCACCGCACTCTCCCGAGTGAGCCACCGGGCCGGCCCTTCTTCTAGTTGTTTCATAGTTTCTTTCATAGCTGGCTGTCCTGTGACCAACTGTGCCTGTCCTCACATTTAACACAATCCACAATGCAAAGCCCTCTCTCCTCTTGAGGGCCTACGATGTGCACTTCACCAGAAAGTTCTTTCTTATTCAGTGAAATACAAAATGTCATTTGCACTGCTTCCTTTCCTTCTGAAAGATGAAACTGTTTATAAGGTTTTGGCTTCTGGCTATCTCTAAACGTCTATAATTCTTAAGAACAAATGAAAAAATCCCAAATTACTTACCAAGATTATCCACGGCATAATGAAAAAAGCAACTGAATTTGATATGCTTGTTGCAGACTATGTCAGGATTGGGAGTCCTTCCTTTTTCATACTCATTCAAAAAATCACTGTCATAAAAGAAAAAGACTTTTCAGTGCTAGGTGTCAAACAGTCCTCAAAAAATAAATGAGCTCAATTACTTGTTTAATGTAGAATTTCTCCTTTCCGTACCAAAACTATAATTTTCTGCAAAACAGGAGAACTTCAGTATGAAGCCATTTTCAGTATTTTCATCAATCACTTGTTTACAGCCTGCTCCACTTGCCATCTGACTCCATGATAACTAGTAAACCTGGATGAAAAACAAGGTGTCACCCCTTGTTGCTTTGGCTCAATAGCCACTTGGTCTCCCCACAGGCTCACAAGCATCTGGGGTCAGGAGACGGTAGGACCTGGGACTCCTCCAACACAGGAGGGTGAAGGCGAAGAAGGGAACATGCCTGAGTCACAGGAGGAATAAAATCATCTACAGTTGCAATTCAGGGCTCTACCAGCCATTCTGCAATCTCAGCCTGGGAGCCCATGTCACTGGTAAAATATGACAAAACTTTTTTTTCTTTTTTTTAAAGATGACCAGTAAGGGGATCTTAACCCTTGACGTGGTGTTGTCAGCACCACACTCACCCAGTGAGCGAACCGGCCATCCCTAAATGGGATCCGAACCTGCGGCCTTGGTGTTATCTGCACCACACTCTCCCGAGTGAGCCACGGGCTGGCCCTAAAACAAAACTTTTCTAATGTGACCAATGCACACTTCTGAGGACTAGCAACCTCCTGAGTGCTTAAAGTGGATTAAACAGGTCATTCTAACTCAGTGGATTCCGCTCTAACAGACTTACTGGACATGGGAGAACGATGCTGCTATACCATCAAGACCTAGCAAGAATTTCACAGCCCTAGAGTGTCACTTCAGGAGGGTTATGGTGCCTGTGTGAGAAATTTAAAATTGGGTGTATTTTTTGGTATATATGATAAATTTTTCATTTAACCTAAAGCTACATGAGTTAAAAAAGTAATGCTGATCAAGAGGGTCATAGTATGAAGACAGATTACAAATCTGCACAGGATCATAGCTTATTTGTGTACATTCAGCTTCAACGGGCACCGCCAAACTGTTTTCCTATCACTTACCACTCCCCCAGGAGTTCATAAAAATGCATGTTGATCTATAATTGCAACAACATTTGATATTACACTCCTTCCATTTTTTTAAAAATTGTTAGAAAGTTGTCAAGAGGGGGGCCGGCCCGTGGCTCACTCGGTAGAGTGCGGTGCTGAAAACACCAAGGCCATGGGTTCGGATCCCATATAGGGATGGCCGGTTTGCTCACTGGGTGAGCGTGGTGCTGACAACACCAAGTCAAGGGTTAAGATCCCCTTACCAGTCATCTTTTAAAAAAAGAAAGTTGTCAAGAGGTTCATTACATTGTAAATTAATTAAGGTAGGACCCACGTCTCCCTCAATAAGTCCACAGACTCAACAAACTTTCTATGTAACAGGCATTGAATAAATGCTGAAGAGGTTGAATGTTTAAACCAGTTTATGAAAAGACATACACAGCACTGTTAACCATTTCCTGAACACTGTAAGGGAAGGTATGTCAGTTGGCTCTAGCAAAAACGATGGAGGGAGTAGCCCACTCCATTCCTTCACTAGAAAGAAAAGAAACCTTGGGCCGGCCCGTGGCTCACTCGGGAGAGTGCGGTGCTGATAACACCAAGGCCACGGGTTCGGATCCCATATAGGGATGGCCGGTTCACTCATTGGCTGAGCGTGGTGCTGACAACACCAAGCCAAGGGTTAAGATCCCCTTACCGGTCATCTTTTAAAAAATTTTAAAAAAAGAAAGAAAAGAAACCTTTCCTGCATTTTGTGAGGAAGATGGAAAAAACTTCTGGACTCTGACCCTGGAAGGCCAAGTGGGTCTTGAACAAAAGAATTCAGAAGAAATTTCGGAGCTAGAAAGCACGACTGGAGCAGTTAGTGTCCTAAATAAAGATTGACGAGCACGTGCTGACCACTTTTGTGGCAGTGGCAAGGCAGGCAGGCTGGCCGGAGCCCAGAGGTGGCTCAGAGGCAGCTGCAGAGATGAGTAAATACTCTGCTGACGCCATCTCTTCCTCAGTCCCTGAGAATAGAGCCCAAGGTTCAGTCCACAACATTAAAAAGAATGCAGTAGTGAGCACCAGCCTGAAAAGCTGGGTTCTAACCCCAGCTGTGCTTCTAATTTGCCACATAATGCAAAACAAGTCACTCGACCAGTCTGGCCTGTTAGAGGTGAGCTAACCTTCAACAATCATGTTCACTCACATACTTTCGAAATTTAGCACTAGAGGGTGAAGCTGAACTTAACCTGGATTTCTTGCTATCACCTTAAACTGTGCAGTCCTCATGAGGTTTCTCCACGCCCACCCAGCCTTGACCTTGAAGCTGTCACTGACTCCTCTCTCTCCTGCCTCCTGCACCCCTCAGTCACTAAGCCCCATCTCGCCCTTTCCCAAAGTAAGACCTGAGAACCCTCTCTATCAGAACCAATTGAGGTGCTTGTTAAAACAGACTCCAGGGCCCCACCCCAGGCACAGGTCCAAGTGCAGGTATGTGTTTAAGATTTTTGAGCCTGACAGCTACTGCCCAGTGGCTCTGTCCTCTGGCCCGTCGCAGCCAGCCCTCACCTTCATTCCCACATGCCCTGCGTACTCCCGACCTCTAGCAACAGCATTTCTTTAGATTCTCCACCCGCGGTCTTCTCCCATTATTCACCCTACACTTGGCTGCCAGATTCCTCTTTTTAATAATGAAAATAACAACAGCTACATTTATAGAATGCTTGCTAACATACCAAACACTGTGCTGAGAACTTCATATGTAATCTCATCTAATTCTTCCAATAACCCTGTGAAATATTTGCATTATCCCCATTTTAAGGATGAGAAAAATGAGGTTTAGAAAAGTTCGAGTAAATTGCCAAGGTCACAAAACAAGTGGCGGGACTGAACCCAAGGTTTTTCTGACTCTGAAGCAGAGAAGGGCAACTCACCCTGTGCATACGGCCTGTTGTCTCAGATGTCTTTAATAGACCCCAGCATTTAGCACAGTCGGGGCTCACCACAGCCTAGCTCCCCTACCCTAACTGAGCAGCAGAAACATCTCACATTCAAGAAGGCATTAAAGAGACTTCTGGCAGCTGGTAAAATAACAGGAGTAGGAGAGCTAAGGGTTTCTGTGGGATCCAGCCCTCCCCTATAACGCAGAGGTGCCCGAGAACGGCTGAGGCCTTCCGCACACTGTCGCTGGCATCACTGCTGAAGAGAGCTGGGCTGCACAGATGTTGGTCTGGCTATCTGTGGCAAAGCTTCCATTCAGAAGGAGTCACAGTGCATCAGGAAGCCTTCTACATGCTACAACCTGCACTCACCTGAACACGTCATTCCAATACTCCTTCACGTAGGACACTTGACGGAAGGGGATGTCTAAGATCTGGCAAACTTTGTAAGCATCTTCGCAGTCTTTGTCAGCAGTACAAACTCCATGCTCATCCAGTGAGTCCCAGTTCTTCATAAACACCCCTGTCACTTGGTAGCCTGGGGAAGGAAAGAAGGTAAATTAAAGAGTATGTGAATCAACAGAGTAAAAGGTAGTGATTTCTGAGCTCTGAGCAATTCCTGACATGCCGTGCTCCTGTGCCTCTGTGCCTGGTTTTCCCGGCAGCCCCTGCTTTGCCAGCTGGCCTTCCGAGCTCCATGTCACACCTCAGTGAAGCCACCCGACTCCCCCAGGCTGGTGCAGGTGCTCCTTCCCCTATACTCCCACTGCACTTTGTAAAGGGCTCCATCACCACAACACATTATTGGACTGAGATTGTCTGTATGCGTCCCCACGATGAGCAAAATGGCCCAAGTATTTTGTTCATCTTTGTGTTACCACCTACGTATCAGCACAGTGCCTAGCACATAGGAAGGGCTTAGCAAATGTGTGCTGAACAAGCGAAAGAATAGAAGAAATTCAATGAAATTTTTCAAAGCAAATAAAAATCACCATTTAGTTATCAGAAAAGTAAACTCTTTTCAAAAGTTATTTCCAGTTAATCATGTAAGACTTAGATTCTAAGTCATGAGACATAAAGACAATTGAAATTTGGGGTATCTCTTATTATAAGCACTGTACCACCTATGTATTTTATGATCTATTTTTCCCTTTTGTATTTTGACAAAGTACCCCACCAAATATTGGAAAAGCCAACTTTAGCCATACACCATCATAGCAAAACACATAGGTGCCTACCATGTATGAGAAATGTTTCTTCCAGGTAGATTAAATGTAATGAAAGACAGTGCATTTGACTATTAAAGGCTTAATCTAATACCCCAAAGGACAGGGATTTGATGACAAAGCTTTGCCAAAACTAAAACTCCACGCTCTCAAGACCACCCCCTTCTCCGCAGGTGATCAGGCCACCTCTTCTCAGCTTCTATTACAGAATTTACCACACTTGGCTCCAGTTGTTCCAGTCTGTCTCCCTCCACAACTCACTAAAGCAGGGAGTTCCTCAAGGGCAGAGACCATATCTAATTCAATCCTAATATCCCCAGCACCCAGTACAGTGCCCAGCATATAATGGGAGCTAAAAAAAAGCTTGTAGAATGAATAAACTACTCTACACACAGAGTTTTAAAAACCTGGGCCAAGCCCGTGGCACACTCGGGAGGGTGCGGCGCTGGGAGCGCAGTGGCACTCCCGCCGTGGGTTCGGATCCTATCTGGGGATGGCCGGTGCGCTCACTGGCTGAGCGCGGTGCGGGCGACATCAAGCCAAGGGTTGCAATCCCCTTACCAGTCACAAAAAGGGCAAAAAAAAACCCCCCAAAAAACCTACTGTTCCTCTACCCTCATCTGCCTCATCATTTTTCTCATGAAGAGATGTGACCTGCTCCCATGGGCACAGGTGGAGACACTCTAGGATGGATCCTCACCTTTCCAGGGGCGCATGAGAAGACACGCACCTCCAGCAAGACTGCGAAAACCCTCAATGCCAAAACAAGGACCACACTTTTTCTCTGCTACGAGGGATCATGGAAAGGTTCGTATTATCTTTTACTTCTATTTTCCCACAAACTTTTTAAAGTACTCTCATATATCCATCAGCTTCCTCTATGGAGAAGGAAAATCTAGCGAAGGCTGGAATATGGAGTTGTGCAGCCTGGAGGGATAGTTTACCTTCTTGAAGTAGTAAAATTATGTATCTTAAGTCTCGCCACAGCCTGAGCTTTCTGCATCTCCCAAAACAACTAGTCATGCCCCTCATCAGAAAACTTCTGGGCTCTGAACTGTCTACCCAACATAGCCTAAGGTCCCTAACATAACGTTCTCTGTAATTGGGGGTCATCCTCCACCCTCCTCTCCTTCCACCTCCCTCTGGCCAGACCCAGCCAACACTTTCACGCCCCCGGCTGGCATGGTGACTCTGCCAGGTCCTCCTCCTCACCTCACACCTCCCATTCTTTGCTTAGAGAAATCCTACTCTTCTTTCAAGTCCCAGCTCAGACACCTCCACCTCTAGAATGCGCTCCTAATTATATATGCTTATGACTGGCCCATCTTTCTCTTTGGCACTTTTTATTATACCTCTCATAATAGCTACTACTGTTTTCTGAGCACCTCCTATGTGCTGGGCACTGGGGTAAACCCTTCAATAATAATGGGTCATTTAATCCTTCCAGTCACCCCCTGAGGCAGGTGGCATCCCCATTTTACAGAGGAGGGCTTAATTCACTTGCCCAAAGTCAGGGAGCGTGTGTGCCCTCTGCATTCTCAGAGGCTGGGGCCCGAGGTGGCTCACAGCAGAGGTTTACTACGTGAATGAGGCCTCTGTGAGAAGCGGCCACACAGATGAGCGTGTAGATGTGCAGTTAATCTCAGCTCCAGACCCTAAGGACCCCCAGCACTCCTGGGGTTCTGTGTAGACGCCCGGAAGAAATGCAAGCGCTTTGGGGAAAAGTCTGCCACCGGCGACCGGAGAACACAGGAGTGATTTAATAAGCAGACACACGGCTCGGTACGTGGCCGTCTAGTGGGCGGGAGGACAAGGACCTTCACGGAGCGGCCGCGCGTCTGCAAAGGTCAGGCCTCGGGCCGAGAAAGTCCCTGCTCCTCTCACTACCGTCCGCGGCCTCACAGTTGGAGCGTGGACGTCGCCGTCACTACCGCGGGCACAGCGCCGCAGACCCAGTGAGAAACCATCCTACCGGCCCCGAATGTCAGGAGGTTCACGATCCACCGGGAGTTCCCGCCGGGGAGCTGGGACGGGGTGCCTAAGGGCTCCCAGGTAGTCACCGCACAGTGGAGGGCGAGGAGCCGCAGAAGCGAAGAGAGAGGACGCGGGTCCCCCTGCGGCCCGCAGCAAACTTAGGCCCAAGGAGGGAAGCGGCCTGCCCAAGGCCACTCGGGACGGGGAGAAGCTCTCGGGGAAGAGCCGCTCCGGGGCGGGCGGGGCCTCGGCCGCCTCACCTGTCCGCCGCAGCAGCAGCGCGGCCACGGCGCTGTCCACCCCGCCGGACAGGGCGCACACGACATGCCGCACCGCCCGCATCTGCCTGCTGGGCCAGCTCGGCCCCCTACCGCCGCC